GGCTCTTTACCCTGGGCCTGGGCAGCGGTGGGGGTTTGGTGGTGCCCTTTGGCGGGGTCGTCACAGCCCTGTGGGGTTCTGAGTGTCCAGGATGCTCGAGTGGGCGGAGCCGTGGGCGGCCGAGGGTCAGCGCGGTCTGGGGAGGGAGGGGCCGGGGGCCGGGCAGGCGCTGCAGGGGAGGTGGGCGTGGGCTGGACAGCGCCGTGTGGAGGCGGGGCTGGGGGCTCCGCTGTCCCTGCTGCCTTTTCCAGCCAGCTGCCTCCTTGTGCTGGGGACAGGGTCTGTGAGGAAATGGAGGCGCCCTGGGGTGCTGGTGGGTGCTGTGTCGGGCCTGGGCCTCTGCTGCGGGCTTTGGGCCGGGCCCAGGGTGGAGGGTGCTGGGGAGATCCGGGGGGTCCTCAGAGGTCTCAGGGCCTCCTGCCTGGCCAGCGGAAGTTCTTCTCCACGTTGGAGTCGGCGGACTGCTGGTGGATGCGGCAGCGATAGGGAGCCGGCTGCCCCTGGATGGTCAGGAAGGAGAGCTGGGTGTCGCCTCCTTTCCACATCGCCCAGCTGGTCACCGGGGTCTGACTCTGTGTCCCTGGGATCTCAGGGACCTGTGCCAGGTCCGGGAGGTACCCGGCCGCCAAGCAGGCCAGGGTCACGTGCTCATCTTCCTTTGGGGCTTTACATGTTGGGACCAAGGTGAACAGGACCTGAGCTTGGGCTGCTCTGCTAGACAGTCGAGCCGGGCCGTGATGCTCAGGGTGTGGGGGGCCCGGGGACTGGCTCAGCTGAGTGGCTGCTCCTGTCCATGAACAGAGCAACTGACTTCCCGTTGCAGCCTGTGGTGGGGCCGGTGCTGGGGCCGCTGTCTCCAGAGAGCTTGAGGGGTGAGGGGCCCCTGAGTCCAGACCTCCAGCTGCTGCTCCCCAGGCCCCTGCAGGGGAGGCACAGGTCCCCTCTGCCTGGGGCCGTGTGGCTAGACTCTGGGCCTTGGCATGGGGGATCCGTCCTTCTCTCCCTGATGCCTGCCCCATGGGCTCCGCCGCTTGGGGACAGGCCATGATCTGTCCTGGGAGCTCCGGGCATTCAGCCCGTGTTGGCAGGCTGCACCCTGCAGTGCTCTGGGCCCCATGTAGGGCTGCCTCTTGCAGCTGCCGGACTCTGGGAGGGTGCCCCCAAACCCGCACTCTCCCTGGGTGGCTGAGGACAGCCTGGTGTGCACGTGCTCTCTGCCTGGGTCCCTGATGGCACTGTCCCATCCCATCCCAGTCTCATAGGTGCTCTCCACCCTGTCTCCTCTTCACACTTACCGCACGGCCCACCTGTGTCTGGACAGGGCCACGCCTGCTCATCTCTCAGCCTCTCCCCTGGCCCCGGGAGCGGGACCCACCTCCTTCCTCTCCCGAGGCCCGGTGACCCTGTCCCCTTTTTTCCTCAGCAGGGCCATGGCCTGTCCATATCCCAGGAGCCATCTTGGCCCTGCTCAGAAGCCCCTGCCCTCACAGAGCTGCCCAGATGCCCTTCCCCATGCCCCTTGGCCCTGGGCCTGGCACCCTATGGTCACACTTTGCCAGACCCCCTCCAAGCATTCTTGGACAGATGCTGGGATGGGAGGTGTGAAAGGGTCGAGCTGTGTCCCCCCAACTCATATGTAGAAGTCCTAGCCCCCAGGACCTCAGAATGTGACCTTCCTTGGAGACATGCCACAGCAGCTGTAAGCAGTAAGTTACTGGGTCCCCTGGAGGAGAGCGGCCTCCAAACCCAATCTGACTGTGTCTCTGCCCAAGGGGGCT